CTTGAGGCTCAATCTGCTCACATATTTCACATTGATGTTTCATGATTTGGGCGGGAGGAAATCAGGGTGTGGATTTAAGAAGGCAACATGCTACACGTGAAGGGCGAGCTAGCCACTTCTGCATTGATGGCGGGGAAGGTTGCGCTATAGCACATGCCCGAGAGGGCGGAGAGGAGTTTCGCTTGCTTCGGTCTTTTGAATGACATTAAGGGTCATCAGATTCAAACCCAGGAGAATGGTATGGTCACTATTATTTCTCCCAAGGACGATCTCGATCTTGATGGTTGGGTAGATCAAGATCAGGTTAAGAAGAGGAAGGAAGTTGCATGTGATCTAGACTTGGATCCTTGTGATTGAAGATGCCAGGAGAAGGAGATGGTGCGGGGGGTAAATAATTGGAGCATCTGAGGAAGATTATCCTGAGGTTTTGAGGGTCTTGATCAGGCTCATATGGGAGCTAGTGTCAAGACGAGAGCCACTACCTCAGCATGTGCTCCGACACAGGTGAAGCAAGATCTTCCTCCCGTGGATCTGAAGCTTGGTGGATTGGCCACATATCTGAGTTGGTCGCGTTGGATCGAGGTCGCTTTAGTAAAGAAGAGCCTAGAGGGATATCTGATGAGAGTCAAGGCTGAGCTAGAGGGTGACTAGGCTGAGGGGACTGAGTAGAGGAACACACGCCTTACTTTACAATTAACTTTTCAACTCGATTGTTCCATTAATTGCCTCATCAGTGGATGACATTCAAATGGTGAGGGACATCTGGGCAAAGTTGAAAATAATTTATGCTTGGATGGAGAACCATATGAGGGTGTTGCAGATTCAGCATGATAAAAGCAATGGTACAAGGTGTAGATCGATTCAGGAATACGTCATAGATTTTGAGCTGCTGTAGGAAGATCTTGATCACTTCTCACCGACGATGAGTTGTAGCAATCCATAGTGCAAGAAAGAGGAGATCGTTACACAGGTGAGGACTATGCAATTTTTGGCCAATCTGAACCTGGCCTTTGATGAGAGGAGATCAGTCCTCCTAGCTCAGGCTACTATTTTCGTCGGATGATGTTATGGTTGTAATGATATAGTGGAGAGTTGCATGAAGCTACACTCTGAGTCGAGTGTAGTTTCAGGTGCGCGATCAACATTGGCTACCTCGAGCCCAGGTATGATAAGTGTCCAGGGGAAGATCCAAGTGCTACAACTATGGTGAAGTCGGGCATCTGAGCAATACATGTCTCAACCCACCTAAGGAAAGATAGACATGTTTACGTGGATAGGGTGGAGGCCGTGGTCGTGGTCATGGTCGTGGTGGTGGAAAAGGTGGCAGAGGAGGGAGAGTCAAGTGTGGTTTTTATCAATGAGGATTATGAGTGTCTAGAGTTGTTAAAGATGAAGTAGAAAACAACAGGAGATGGGGCTGAGGATGCTTCCAACCAGTCGTCATTAAAGGGTAACATTGTCACTTAGGCTCACTCTGACAAAAGTACTTGTGATAAGTAGATTTTGGTGCATCTGGACATGTTACAGGTACTACTAGAGAGTTTTCTTCCTATACTCTCTTGTCAGTTCAAAAGAGCATCCATAGTGCTGATGGTACAATACAGTCTATAGTTGGTAATGATACAATGAGGGGTACCAATTATATAACTTTGTACAATGTTTTGTATACTCCTCTTTTAGTGAACCATTTATACATTAATGTTATTATTCTCCAACTATTATTATTTTTGTTTGATATTTCTATGGTAATCTTCCAAGAGAAAGAGACAGGTCGTACGCTTGGGACTAGATCGTGTCATTATTCTCCAACTAGTATTTGAGGAATACTTGTTAGCCCAAATGATACAACATCAAACCACATGCCCATACACATCGACATAAAATATAGTAACAATGAGGAATGATAGACACCCTTCAGAAGTTGCCCGAAGCATGATGATTGCAATGAATATCTCAAAACACTTATTGGGGCAAGCAGTTTTGATAGTTGCTCAATTGATTAACAGGTTGTCATCGAGGGTGTTGGATTGGAAGTCTCCTTATCAGATGTTGAAAAAAGATAATAGCGGGAATCTCATATTGAAAATGTTTAAATGTGTATGTTTTGTGAAGGATAACAGACCATTAGTAGGGAAGCTAAATATCAACTGTGAAATGTGTGTTTGTAGGTTATTTTGCTACTCAGAAGGGATATATCTGCTGGAGCCCAATAAAGAAGAAACTTTTTGTAAGCATAAATATGTCATTTAGAGAATTTGAACCGTATAGGCTTTCCATATACTGGAGATATGAGGTAAAGCGGGGTGAGTTGCAATGGTGAGAGAGTGACACGTTGGAGCAATGCCTATGATGTGGGATGAATCAGTTGAGAAATCAAAAAAAATGAGGAGAGTGAACCCAAATGTGGTGGGATTTAGGCTGAAAGTGAGCTAAGAGTGTATACACGGAAAAGGAAGTAAAATGAGGGAACAATGCCTATAGTGTTAGTTATGCCAGCTAGTCTCTTTTCCTGGCCTTCCCCGACTTTTCAGACACTTACACCGTCCACCTCTGACTCAGAATTCTCAGGTGATATGATTTCCTCCCCTTTCTTCTTCTAACTCCCCAACTTTAAGGAGATTCTCCTGCAGCAATGCGGGTCATCTTCCCAATCGTTTTGGGTGGGAACATGATATTGTTAACTTTGTTTAATATTTAACATATCACCTTTACATATAACATTCATTGCATCTTTGGACACTGTCTCTATACCCAAATTTTGGCAGATTGCTAAGGAGGATCCCAAGTAAAAAGTGACTATGCATGGAGAGCTTAGGGCTTTCGATAAAAACCGAACATGAGAGATAGTGTCACTACTAGTGGGGAAAAAAATAGTTGGGTAAGTGGATCTTTACCGTGAAGCGAAACTCCAAAAGGGAAGGTGGAGTGGTACAAAGCACGACTGGCGGTAAAAGGTTATAGTTAGCTATATGACATTGACTATGATGAAACATTTACATCAATAATAAAGATGAGCACAGTAATGACACTGGTTTCTCTTACAGTGAATGGTGGGTGAAGGTTACACTAACTCGATGTGAAGAATGCATTTCTTCATGGTGAGTTACTAGAGGAGGTATGTATGGAGATACCACCGAGGTACGGTATAGTCTAGACAGCAAGTTGTGCAAGCTCGGGAAGTCACTGTATGGCTTGAATCAATCTTCTCGAGTCTGTTTTGATAAGTTTAAAAAGGCTCTGGTGTCCATGAGATATTAGCAGATCAATACAGACTACATGGTGTTCATTCAACAACTTGAAGGTCACACCACTATACTTGTGTATGTTGATGGCATCATTGCCATCGGTGACGATGAGGCAAAAATTACCCAACTAAAGGTAAGATTGGACAATGGATTTAAGATGAAGGATCTTTGACAGCTCATATACTTTCTTGGGATTGAAGTGGCATGTGGACATGAGGGAATGATCTTGTCCTAGAGAAAGTATATGCTTGATCTCCTCACGGAAACAGAAATGTTGGGGTACAAACATGTAGTTTCTTCAATTTATCAGAAGGCCTAGCTGAGTGCCAAGGCAGGGGAACTGGTTGATCGTAAGAAGTATCGGTGATTAGTGGGTTGTCTGATCTATCTATGTCGCACACGACCCAACATCTCTTTTGTAGTTAGTGTGGTGAGCCGCTACATGCATGATCCAAGGAAGGGTCATATGTATGCAGTGTATCAACTTCTGAGGTACCTGAAGAGTGCATCGGGGAAGTGGTTGATCCTAATTTGTAGCAGCGTGCATCGACATTGAGGGTTTTTGTGATGCTAATTGAGCGAGTTGTGCAGATGAAAGAAGATTCACCTCAGGATACTGCATGTTCGTAGGGGGAAACTTGGTCTCTTGGAAGAGCAAGAAAGGTACCTGAAGAGTGCATCGGGGAAGTGGTTGATCCTTCAGGAAGAATGACAATGTAGACATTGAGGGTTTTTGTGATGCTAATTGAGCGAGTTGTGCAGATGAAAGAAGATTCACCTCAGGATACTGCATGTTCGTAGGGGGAAACTTGGTCTCTTGGAAGAGCAAGAAACAATTTGTAGCAGCGAGCTCAACAAAAGAGGCATAGTATAGAGCCAGGACCATAGGAGTTGCTGGGATGATGTGGTTGAGAGCCTTGTTGGTTGAGCTCAAGAACTCAGATGAAGTTTTGGTGTGAAAACAAATCAACAATGAACATTGCCAACAAACAGATGCAACACGATAGAACCAAACATGTGGAGATTGATAGATTCTTCATCAAGGAAATCCTGAATAATGGGCGACAGGAGCTAAGTCATGTAGCCATCGGATAGCAAGTGGCTTACTACCTAACTAAAGGACTTAGTTCACTAAATTTGTCTAGGTTATGTGACAAGATGGGCTTAGTGGATATCTTTTGCCCCTCTTGTTAGGAGAGGGGGGGGGGGGGGGGGGGGGGGGGGTGTTAAGAATTGGACCTCATTTAGGGTCCTATTAGTAAAAGGAGAATATTGAAGAAGTCTAGGGTTTTATTTGTAAAACGTTGTAATACCCTATTTAAGCCCATGTTATGAATGTACACATTAGGTTTTGAGCTATTCTTTCTTTGTGCGGCAAGTTGATTGGAGTGGGTATAATATGGATGCTAGTTTTAGTATGACAACAAATGCCATAATCATGATGGGATATGATGATGAATTAATTTAAAAAAAAAATGTCATTATCATGGAAACCAAGGATTCAACCCGATTTCTGGCTATTATTTTGTTCATCTGTCCAAAAGTCTAGGATTAATTTCTTTTATAACTGCTTGGTAAACATCTGGCTTTATAGTAATCACTATGAGATATTAATCATCCTTCTGTGCTTGAAATATTCTTGTTGGCTCAATTATTGATCATTATCTTTTATATATATGCTCTGAAAATTAGAACTCTTACAACAAAGTGCATTTTATTGTTATGCAACAACAACAAAAGCTTTTTGTGTATCAGGTGCAGGAAGCACACCCCTTCATTATGCTGCCTGTGGTGGAAATGCAGTCTGCTGTGAAGTAAGTTGGTTTTGATATACCATGTTTTCTGTTATAAAAATTTTGTAATACTGCTTTTCATTTTTAAACATCAGGTTCTCATTGCCAGAGGAGCTAGCTTGACAGCTGAAAATATCAACGGGTATGTGATTGCTATATTTAAAGTTTCACATGCAAACTTTCATTTTTAAACTATGAAATCTTGCAGCTATAATACTTTTCAAAAAGTTTCCTTTTAAATGTTCCTTTAAATTGGTTGAGAACGTTTGAGAACTGATTTGGAGAGGAAAAATTCTCTTGATTGTATTATTCGCATGTAGGGCACATATATATAGGGAAAACAATTTCTCATTATTTACAAACTAATTATATCTAACCTAAATTGGGAAATGAAATAATTATGAAATAAAAACTAAAATAACATAGAATATGAAAGGAATAAACAAATCCAATGTTTCATAGGCTGTCCCAATCAAATTCTCCACAAGATCTGTAAAGGAAGAGTTTTGGTGAAGACATGAGCAACTTGTTGGTGTGTCAGAATGCAGTTTAGTTGTATAATTCCCTCATTAATGTTTCATAGATGAAGTGTTGTTGACCTCATTTTAGTGAGGTCTTAGCCTCCTAATCTTAGAACCTAGGATCTAGCCTTAGGAGTTCCTGGTTGACCATCCTAGCGGACTAGTAATGGAGTCCACCTCCCATAGAACTTCAAACCGCTTCTTTACTCATTTTTTGTGAAAACTCGCACGA